CCAAATCCCAACAGCGTAAACTATCGGTTCATAGTCGCCGTGTCCTCAAACTTTGGTTGGATTGGCTCAAAGTTTCCCCTCCTCTTCGGACCATGCGGCCACCGCTTCAGGTTCAGCTCCACGCATCAGCAGATGCCTCTGCCCAAGGGAATTCATTTCAAGTTGGTGGTCTTATCGAAGCAGGTTCAACTGTTTTCTGGTTCTCTGAACAATGGAAGGTCCAAGATGTTAAGGCTCTGGACATTCCCGTTCGTCCGGATGCACAAAGAGATATTGCATGTTATGAGACTTTAGCTCAAGGGTTTCTTGTTCTATTGTGCCTGGCTATTTGCCCAATGGCCTGCATTCCACTGCGTTTCCAAAGTCTTAGTGACAATGTTGCAGCGGAATCTGCCGTAACAAGCTTTTTACAACAGCTGCTCCGCTTTGTTACTTCGTTGAGCATTTAGCTTCCATTCTTGTAACTGAGCGCATCAGTTGTGATATCTCCCACATTCCCGGTCCATTGAATCTAGATGCAGACCTTCTGAGTCGATGGGACATGACGACAGCTCTCCCCTCGAAGTTCGATGCCACGCATAGGCATCGCATGCGCAAGGCTTCTTTCGGTTTCACAGATCAGTCACGATCTCTCCGGCTAGCTTCCCAATCCATTGGCCTCTGTCACGGCCATGATAGAACACAGTACCATTTGTACTGCCAACTTCCACTCAGTGCCATTTGGGTTTGATTTCGACCGAGTGTTGTTGGAAATGCTTTCGGTCTGATATCCCAACAACCCTCGACAGAGTTTGGCAGTGAAAATGGTGCTGATGCGTTGTGGTGAGAGAGAGAGAGAGGAGCATGTTGTATCTAGTTGAACATTGTAGGTATCTCTAGAACCTTTACGTTTCTTTCGGTTTTTTTACGTCCCTTTACTAATTTTTGTGATGATTGCTATTTAACCTCATGCTCAGGTTTTGTTCGGGGATTGGATCGCACTTTGTTGTTGGGGATTGGATAACCAGTGTTTATATTCATGATTTTAGTTTTAGTTCGGGCAGGCAATCTTCTATCAATGATGGAAAACTAAATTTTTTATCGTGGTTACAACGGCGTCTCGTTTGACGCTAGGTTTCAGTAGTAGGTTAGGTTTTTGAGTTGCAAAACTTGGCAGGGAGGCCGCGACCAGTTGCGTCAGTGTTGTGCCGTTTTTCGTTTGTTTTTTACATTTGACGCCAAATTTGTCGATGTCTTCAGAGGTCTTTCCAGTTTTCAAACCTCTTTTTTTGTAGTTCCGCAATCCTCGTTTTGCATCGTTATGTGGAATTAGTTGGGGGACACAAGGCTTGCTCTGGGCCAGTGTGGCATTGGACATGTTAACATCTACAAAGGGTGTCCTGCTTAAACTGTGCTTTTACCATGAGGGCCTCATGAGGGGAACACAAGGAAACTCTGCCAATGTCTGCTGACTTCTTTTGTTGCTCACACTTGTTCTGAGAACCACTTTGTGTGCAGAGTGCCATAAAAAGGTGTAGCTTCACACAGAGAGTGTGGCTCCAAGAAAGACTGCATTTCGGATGAGTGGGTTGTTCACATCAAGAATGCCTTTCACGTAGGGAGCGTGTTTCACTAAAAAAATTTCTTTCACGTAGAGAGAGAGAGAGAGAGAGCGCGCGTTTGAGGCATCAAATGCCGATGTTGCTCCATTGGGTGCCCTCCGAACCAGACTTGTTGTTGCATGGTGTGTGGTGAGGCTTTATCGGCTCGCAAAGGGTTGTGGGCACATGGTTTGGCATGGTGGTCCGGTGGCCATTGCCATGGGTAATGCGCCGATGCGTCCCTTCCATGCGGCTTGGCCATGGATCGCTAGTTGGGGCATGAATGCTTTTTGACGGTGATTGCTGAGGTGTTGCATGAGTTGGTGACCAGTGTGAAAGCACATCATGGTTAAATCCACACAGTTCTTTGGCATGAGGATCTGTGGGGCTGACTTTTTGAACTTGTTTGCCCATAGTGCCTTGGCCACCAGACAGTCTTGTGCGCTGACAGGTCGATGTGATTCCAGTTGTGTTTCAGAACGATTACGGATTCCAGATCTGAGTCACAAGATGTTGCTATGCACTGCCATATGTGTGTGGAAAGCAAGATTCTTGAAACCTTTAGTGTTGGCAACTAACGGAAGGTCTTCCAAAGTTAATTCACTCACAAGTCGTCGTCTCAAGGCTTGGGGCTGTTTGTCAGGCACCACCAAGTACATTAATATCAGAGAGACGCGATTCGGTGTCTTGGCCAAGAGAAATCCATTGAAATCCACTACCTTTATGTTGTGCCAAATTTGCCAATGAAATTCAACGGGTGCGGAACACTGTGACTTAGCTGCGAACTCTCGATCAATATTGATTTTCCTGTTGTATTTTGAATGTTTATATCTATATATATAGAAACTTTATATAACTTGATGATATTGCATCGAATTGACCACCAATCTTTTGCAAACAAGTGTCGGGACTTGACCAGGTTTGCCTCACTATGGCTTGATGTTTCTGATTGCGATGTACCTTTTGGTGTACCAGCTGATTGGGAAGTTAGGTGGGGAGACGCACATGGCGGGTCAGAGAGCGAACCAACGTTGGGACTTGAGCAAGTCAGAACGACAGTCTAATGGGCCTCCAACCTAGAAGCGATGGCCTTCCTAGCAACAGCCAACTGCCACATTTGCTTCATGGCTGCGCCACGGGCAGGCTACTTGAAGTTCAACGATGCCCCAAACACAGTGCGTTTCACTCTCCAAGAGTGGCCCGTTTGTGCAAGATGTTTTCCGTTTGTTGGTTCAAGCATGTGAGGTCGAATCTACGGCGTCAATTGCGAAAAGACCCTTACTGTACAGCCCTGGGTTTTGAATTGGAAGTTTGGAATCAAAGGCAGGGGTTCTGATTGTTCCAAGACAATACTTGACTTTCAATCATTGGACTTCATACGTTACATTGAAAAGGTGAGACTCACATGTTTCTGCGGTTTGTTAACCATTGTCGTCGTACCCTCACGTTCAATCAGCACACGCTTGGAGTACATTAGCAAGATATAGCAAGATAGGACCTGAGCCTGAGTTCTATTTTGTTTGTTTCTAGAGCTGAGGTGATAGTTGATGGATGGTTGGGGGTATTCGGATGAAAAGGCCAGAGATCTAATTCTTGTTTTTGTTAAATACGAACGAAGCATTTGCCAAAGCAGAATATGGTGCTCCAAGATTGCTTTCCCAAAGGTGGCGTGACATTGAACGTTGATATGTTTAACCAAGCCTTGGGCTTTCTGGAACGCATCCACCACCTGAACATCCGTTCAACCTGCGTGTCGGCCAAGGCCGACGGGTTGCAATCCCGACACTGGCTGCCATCAGGTGCGGCTCGTTGTCGAATGCGGCTCCCAGATGGTCAACAAATTTCGATTCGTTACCAATCTCCAAGTGAAATTGTCGCGCACTCCGGGTGTTTGAGCACATCCAACATCGCAAAGGGGTCACCCTTAACCCGTTTGATACCTATGTACAACACAAGATCAACAGAAAACTTTCAGATAAGACACGTAAGCTCATTGCACTCAATCTCACCGGTGGTTATCAGACTGGTGCCGTCAAGTCCCTCTGGGACTCTACTCATTCCATGCAATGTCCTTATTGTGAACAACCCGACACGCATTCGCATCGCCAACTTGAGTGTGCCCATTTTCAACATCTACGAGACCAACATCCAGATGCCATTCGTCTCCTCCAGGAATTCCCAAGCCTACTTTGGTTCCCACTGGCTACCATGCATGCAAAACAACCAATCTACAATTTGCTAAAGGCGGATCGACAAGGTCCTTTCCTCGATATTCCTAATATTGTGAACACACCCCATTTTGTGTTCTATACAGATGAAAGCTGTGACAAGCCCAAATTCCAAAACTGCTGTCGTGCCGCATGGGTCGTGGTGCAACATGTCCGTAATCCCCAGGACCCATCCATTGATGATTTTGTCGTGACTCAGAGTTCACAGGTTGCTGGTACACAGTGCCTGGCTTGCACAGTTGTTTACACAATTATATCCGAATAAGTTTATGTCCATCCATACAGATTCTGATTTTGCATTTCATCTTGTCGAAGCCATTTCAAATCACACACTCGACCCCAAAATTTTTCAGAAAGCACCCGCTGATCTGATTCACCAGCTACAACGTTTTTGGAACCCCCTCTTCCATCAAATTAAAAAAGTGAAATCACATCGTCAATTAGAAGATGCTGAAAATCCAGAGGACCTATACACAATCTTAGGCAATGACCTATCCGATAGGGTTGCAAAACAAATTAATCAGATGGACATGCCACATTTCCAAGACGCTGCAGATTCGATTTTTGAACATACGAATAAACAAATGGATGCATTGCTCACAATCTATCGATATCTCGCTGAACTAAACGCCCTCCACTCCAGTTTGAAAATTGAAAAAGAAAGGGACGCCGCGACAACGCATCAGTTCAATACATTGGATGCCTACACAAGTTTCCAGTCCGCATTGTGCCAATGGGATGTAGGGCCTGATTGCTGGGTCTTAGAAACAGATTTACCAGAGTTACCAGAGATAATCGCACAAGGTTGCCCAGTGGGCGCAACTGTAGCATACAAGGTGTGGCAGATGTTCCGGACATTTCGCTGGCGCCCACACAATTTACTGTACCAGTAACTCAAGGTGACTTTGGATTTTCCTGGTACGAATTGACCCTGTAATTTGCACTATATTCGGGTCCTTGCCAATTTGGATTTAAAACTCCGAACATAAACTGCCCAAACCATATGCGTTTGACACTCCAGAAGCCAAAATTCAGCCAGACTCTAAACGATGTTTGTGCTCGACATAAAAAGACCAATGCTAGTCATTCTTTAAGGTACCCCTAACATGTAACAGCATTCACACATGTACATTCGATGTGTCGTTCGGTTCACCTAGAATGTAAAACACATTCGTCCCGACCGACGCTACTTGGCTCAAGGAAAATCGGTGCCACGCCGCTTTCCTTCAGGGCGCCGTGTTACCTGACCTGTGGTCGGGTGCGCTTTCGTTGCTTTCGCTTCCGCGTCCGACACCTGCCTTTCGTTCGTTCGATCGCCGCCGTGCCTTCGTTCGTTCAGCCTCTCGTTAGTCACGGGTACTCGTCCTTCGGACTCGCCCCGTGCACTTGTTCGTGTAAGTAGAGCCGCAAGGGATCTAGCTTACGTACTTCTTTCGCCGTTTGTCGTTAAGTAGTATAAGTTGGGCAATCCCTTATCTACCCGGTGGACTAGCCAATTCATTGGTTATCAGCCGTATCGCTTCAGACACGGAAGGTCCCATTGCCCCCATTGTAGCTCGCTTCTCACTCTTGCGACCTACAGTAATGGGACGTGTCCAACCTCCACCACCAGAGGGTGCTGCTTCGTCTGCATCTTCAACACCGGCCGCCGCCGCGGCCGCAGCACCGGTGGAGAGGCCTCAGAACCAAGAAGCTCCTGTAGGAAACGTTTTGCTAAACTAGTGGAAGAAGAACGTGCAGACCTCCTTGCCAAAAGGAAGGAAGGCATCACGGTCGAAGAGCTACCCGCTCGAGAACCAGAGACTGCACCACCCACTGATTCTTCTAAAGAAGCCACTGAGGAAGAGTCACACCTCGATTTGGATGATCCCGAAATGCAGACACAGTTGCATCGTCATATCAGCACCTGTGATGAGATTCCTGATTTGTGGGCCTCCATCCCATGCACATCAGGGTCTCCATGGCAAAGGGTAAATTGCATGAAAGGGGTGCTTAAATTCATGAAAAGGCATGCGCAACAGGTGAAGGAATCTATGCGTTTGTTTTCTGAGTTTGCCAAGAACGCAGAGCTCGCATTTGCTTGTCAGGGCACTGTGACCTTTGAATGGCCAAAGGGATGTGAAAGCTGGCAGAGGCCAGATGTGAAACAATTCTTCGAGCATCACCCTGAATTCATGCCAGTCGAATTTGACGGGTGTGCTGTTGGTGTTCAATCAACCAAGGGTCGTCCTATCAAGAAAAGATGGCGTCTCATGACCACCAGTAAGGCCATCGTAGATATGTTTTCACAGTTTCAATGTCCCCACAAGCCACATGAACACGACCATGCAGTAGGCTCCCAAACAGCTCGTACAGCATTCTACCCAAGACAGATGATTGTTCAGATTGCTAAGGCCTTGTATCCTAACATGACCCATTCCCCTGTTGCCCCAGCCATGCCATGTCTTCCATGTAAACATGATTTTGAGCATAGGGAGAAAGAGCAGGCGTTGAAGCGTGTGTCCGCCCTCTCAGGGATTGATGCAATGGCCATTGCCGTCGAAACAGGCGAGACTGTTGATAAAATGGTAGAGGGCCTGATGGACATAAGTGCGCTTATGCACGAGGCATACCAAATCCCCCGAACCAAGAAAGGTGAGGAAGAGGTGTCAGCGATGGTTACCAAATTGCTTAGTCGCACTGAAATGCTGAACGATCCTGAAGCCTTGCAAAAGGTGAAGGACGAAGCCGGTGGCTTAGTCAACGAGGGCACGTGGGAGTACGAGTCCGTTTGTGAAAAAGAGCATGTCCGTGCGAGGCGAAAGCCTCCGGCGTTTCAGTACACTTTGGCAAGCTGATGACGATCGCGTCCATCAAATTTTACGAACTTGCGAAAGAGCTTCAAAAGAAAAAGGGTAGAATAGTCTACCGTGGGGACTGCGCCAAAGATGAATATGGCGCAGCGGCTGTATATGAGGAATTGGGCGCCAACCCAACCTCTGTGCAAGGGCTCAATGCTTGCTTAGCGTACGGTAGCCTACCAGGCAACCTACGGCCGCAGACGCCGTCAAGGCCTATGTGCAAGCAACGCTCAAATCTAAGTATAAAACCTGGATTGAGCTACCCCCCGAATTAAGGCCGGCGTGGTGGAAGAACAAATTTGTTCAAACCGTCGTTCTCCTGGTGAAAGCTCTCTACAGACACCCTGACGCGGGTGGAATGTGGGAGCAACACCTAAAACAGATCCTTAAGAAGATGGGAGGCGAGGAAATCACCGAATTCCCCGGTAATCGGTCCTCGCGACCAACACGATAAGTTCTGGTCTGAAATTACTTCTGCGGTTAACGTTGAACCGCCTGAACCCATCTATCGGATCTTAGGGAGGCACCGAGACCGCCGCCTTGCGTAGTCTTCGACATGCAGGACTACGCGCAGGTGACTATTGACCTCTACAAGTCAGTAGCCGGTGTGGATAAAGTGAAGCCCGCACAGACACCATTCCTAGTGGATGGCATTGAGGGGAGCTTGCTCCCAAGGCATGCTCAATCTTGATGAAAGCTTTGTGGCTCGCCAGATTAGCACGCCCAGATATATTCAAATCCATCAACGATTTAGCAACTAAAGTGCAGAAGTGGACACGTGTCCACGATAAGAAACTGCTCCGGCTTATACAGTACTTGCAGCACTCGCTAGATTACCGTCTAACCGCCGTCTGCGAGATGATGCTGATGAGTTGTGGCTCGAACTGTTCGTTGATGCCGACTTTGGCGGTGACCAGCAGGACGTCAGGTCTACCTCAGGTGGCTATTTGGTATTGAGAGGCCCTGATACCCATTTCCCGCTTGCATGGGTGTCTAAACGCCAAACCTCAACGTCAAGGTCTACCACCGAGTCCGAGGTTGTCAGTCTCGCATATTCGTTGTATCAAGAAGGACTTCCAGCATTACAACTGTGGGACAAGCTACTTGGTCGAGCCGTTAACCTCGTAATCCAAGACGACAACCAAGCAACTATACTCGTGGTAAGAAAAGGGTCTCTCCAAAACTCCGACACATAAGCCGTACCCATAAAATAAGTTTAAGTTCGTTAAGAGAGTGTATCGACGATCCAGCCGTAGAGATTAAATATGTCGACACGAACGAGCAAGCAGCCGATATATTCACTGAAGCATTGCCTCCACAAAAGTGGTTCAAAGCTTTGTGTCTGCTCGGAATTCGTACCGACCTCAAACATTTAGTCCCATCTAAAACGGACCGAAGCATTTCGACCAGTTCGTAGCTTCGTAGATCGTCGAAACCGCTGCCGCCCGGCGCGGTAATTCGTGCATGTACAAAGGAATGCTGCCCCACAACGGGGAGGGGGAGTCATTTTTTGAGGCACCCCTAACATGTGACAGCATTCACACATGTACATTCGATGTGTCGTTCGGTTCACCTAGAATGTAAAACGCATTCGTCCCGACCAACGCTACTTGGCTCAAGGAAAATCGGTGCCACGCCACTTTCCTTCAGGGCGCCGTGTTACCTGACCTGTGGTCGGGTGCGCTTTCGTTGCTTTCGCTTCCGCGTCTGACACCTGCCTTTCGTTCGTTCGATCGCCGCCGTGCCTTCGTTCGTTCGGCCTCTCGTTAGTCACGGGTACTCGTCCTTCGGACTCGCCCCGTGCACTTGTTCGTGGAAGTAGAGCCGCAAGGGATCTAGCTTACTTCTTTCACCGCTTGCCGTTAAGTAGTATAAGTTGGGCAATCCCTTATCTACCCGGCGGACTAGCCAATTCATTATGCTAGCTCATTTGCTTGGTTAGGACTTCACAGAATCTTGGTTGGGGCAATTTCCGCGCGACCGCACTTGCCATATGCAGATTTGCTTATGCAAAATGTGCAAGCCTATGCCTCGCTACCGAATCAGTCCTACACCTTGAATGTACGTGTTGTACCATCCATCATTCCGCACGCTACTTTGTGGCCCAATCCGCCATATAGTGATATCTCTTATGACAAACGTCATAATCTCTGCCAGAAAATTAAAAAGTGCATTCGCCTAAAACAGTCGCTTGAGCTCATCGATGTACCGAATTAGATGAAAACACACACACTGTGTCTTACACCGGTGTTCGATGAATGATGGTCGCATGTGTTGTAGATACCCATGTTCTGCCGTACATACACACCCTCTAGCACCCCACAATGTGGAAGGGCTACTGAGGGGCGAAAAATGGATCGATCGCGAGTTGGTGTGGAACATGCAATTTGTTATTTTTGGAGAAACAAATATCAAAGGCCTCCCTAATAGCGATGGCCTTGATGCTTGAGTGTGACCTTATTGACCTTTGTCAGGACAACTTCGCCTCCTTGAGCCAGTTGCACTGCGCTCAGAATTCGGTGATTGCCAAAAAGACACATCGTCGTAAGAAACATCGTCCCTGGGTTGGGCCGGTTTGGATCCCAAAGAAGGAAAAATTTCAGGATTGGAATCGAAGTATGTAAAGGCGAATGAGGTGGAGAGGAAACACATCCGAGAATGATATGCATCCGTGCTCACGGTGAACGCTCAGGGGTGAAGCCATACACCGATTCCGAAATGCCGGTTGTTGCGCGAGGTGCCATCACCGCAGCTTTAGCGACAACTGTACCTGGCTCAGGGAAAGAAGGGACAAAGACATGCCTGTCACTGTGGTCTGTCAGGTCTGTCAGGTCCGTCAGGTCCATTGGAACCCGATTCAACTTTCCGGCTTCACGGCTGGGTGAAAAGCTGCATGGCCGTTTCTTACGAGGTACGGATTCCTCGCGAGAGAGCTCCGGTGCCTTCATTCCTGAGATTCTGTCCGACATCGTCCTTTGGCGGTTGATGTATATAATTGATATATATATATATTATTTATAAGTGAGAATAATTGAGATAAGAGTGCTTGGCTGGGTGTTTGAGAAAGCGCCATAAGAACCCTTTTGAACTCTTCGAGCTTGCACTAGCTTTGGATAGAGGTTGAGGCAGATCCGGCAGCTCTCGCGTGCACTCTATCAACTTCCGACTTGTTCTCTGCGAGAGACGTGGCCTTGCCCTAGGAGCACCAGTCGTTGAGCATATGCTTCAATTCTTATTACTCTGCAGCCAGCAACTGCGATGATCCCTGGCTCATACAGAAGGCAAGGCAGGATTTGGAATCTTGATGTCAGACCCTGTGGGTAGAGAGAACAGTCTGTGTGAACCTTTTGGGGCTAGGACCGAGAGACATTTGGATCATTGAAATTTGGCTAAAACTGTTGACAGTATCTCGTATCTATGTCAATGTTTGTTGTAGCAGGGAAAGAAGCGCTTCCACTTTGTTGGGCAGGCGTAAAGTCCATAATTCATCAATAGGAATTGGGCATAGAGTTTAAAACGCTCCAAAGAACAAAGGTCAATCCATGTGACCAGAGCCCACAAGTGATGCAGCATGTTTTCACCTGACCAGGACGCATCACTTGCTGGTTCAAAACTTTTGGGTTCCTGAGACTGTTTCTTAGTGGTTTGCCGTTCATGACCTGGAAAAGGAACAGTCAGACAAGTGTTGGAATTTGGAAACCAGTGGCTATACTGAAGCCACACTTTGCTCTCCAACCAGCCATGCCTGACCCTGCTGCCCGTGCGTCACTTCATTTTCTGTGCTCCCAAGCCGGGCTTAGCTTGAAGGACCATTCGGTGACATCCCCAAAGTCCGGGCTCGCCACGACCTCCCAAATGCAGGTCGGGCTCGGGTTTCGGTGAAACTTCACATTGCAACGCTGAAAGTTTCCCCAAATCTGGATCTGCAGGGAGTGTCAGCACGACAAGTGAGTCAATGAAATGGCTAGCTGACCCGGTGTTTGGCATTGCCGCCTGGCTGGTGCTCCAACCGGTCTCAGGGGATGCTCTTTGACAATGGGAATGATGGAGACAAGGAGCTCAGCTGATCTGGTTTAAGTTTGCTTTGTTTTGCTTTGTTTGCTGTTTGGAAAGCCTGGAGTGGAGAGATGGTAGATGTAGATGAAATGTTTTTCTATTTTGTCATACTTGTTTGCAGATCATCAGGTTGGAATGGTAGATTTGAGCAGGAGTAATTTATACCACATTGTACCTTGGCACTCAATTGCCTCCCACAGCCTTCCCCAAGCTATGCCGCAGCAATCCCAAAGCAGTAACGGCGCAGGAGGGTGGGAGCAGCACAGATAATGCACCTTGGGCAGCAAGAACAGCTGATGAACCACAAATAGTATGGTTTACTGCTGTTGAAGATGCTGGCAACTAGTAAGTCCTTCCACTAAGGGATGCTTTTTCCTGGAGTCCGTAAGGAATTGTACAAACTGGTCTCAGTCAGGAAGAGTATTCACCGTGAGTCACGGGTAGTTATTGCTGTGTGGTTTGCCACAAAGCTTGGAATTGGATCAAGAGCAATCCCAGTGCCTCAAGATGTCGTTTTTGCAAGCGACCCCAAGCAAAGTGCGCTGCATACATTTCACATGTCAAACGACTTGAGGTCCATGAAACCTGATTTACACAGCTGGGCCTGTGCGTTTTGCAAACCAAGCACTTCCAAAGACCACGTGCTTCGACATACCAAAACGAAGCTTTCGTGCGGGGCTTCTCTCAAATTACAACAGCTACAGCTCAAAGTTCAGGATTTACCGCGCCCGCCATGACATTTGAGCCCGCCAACCAGAGTATTGTGCCCCCCCCACGAGCACTGCAAAAAGAATAACGCACCTTCGATCTCCTGCGCTTGCCATGACAAGTCGGCTCAAGACCTCCAAGACATGTCGGCATGAACTGCACCGGCCACGAGAATTAACCTCCGACGACCGCTAAGTCCAAACATGTGCACGGTACCACAACAAGAACCACACGCCCACTCGGACAGGCATTTTGTGCAAGACTTTCGTGGCAAACGCAACTTCGTTGACAGTTGTGGAAAAAAGAGCGCGCGTTTTCAGAGCACCTCAATTGGACACCGCTGTTAACTTCGACCGTAAGAGCTCCTTCGCCACCAGCTTGGGGAAGGTGGGAAGGTAGCGTTCTTTTGGTAGCGTTCTTTAAGGTGACAAAGCTTGACATATCGTGTCATGAGATCGCCCAAAGCGCTTTTGTTCTTTCTTTAGTGCTTTAGTCTCTGAAAGTTTGCTGGGTCCTTGAGAAATCGTGCTCCATCATGTTCAGCAAACAAGTTTTGTAAAAAGCTGGCCGTGGATCTGATCCGCTGTTCCAGTCCCCCTGCTCTGTGCTGCCGAACGAAGATGGCTTGGATTACTTCAGCATGGGCACCGTGTTGCAGGCCCGGGCACGGTGGCCGCCATGGGGAGATGGAAACAAATTCAGACGAAGGCCTGTGTGGTGCTTTCTTGTTGCCCCTCGGACCACCCAAAACTGCTCCCATAGTGTTGAAAAGTGAACAGTGTCCTTGAGGTGCATTCAAAGAGGTTGACCTCATGCCCCAGTGGGACCTTCTTTTTGTTGGCTGGAATCTCGTTAATTCTAGCGATGATAAGAACATGTCAATAGCTCTCCTGCGAAAAGAATCGATGCTATTATCAAGGAAGAACGCACCCACATTGCTTATGATATAGCCTTTGCTGCTTTGTATTTTGCAAAGAGGGTAAACATGACGCAGGAAAGGCAAAAACTTGGCACGCATGTGCCGTGTCAAGCATCACGAGAGCAAATCTCCAAATCTATTTCCAAAATACTTTTTATCAGGCGTTCATTGATTCCCTCACCATCCTTGGGGCCAGCTGTTCAAGAAGCTGTCTCATTGGCTCCGAGCATCATATACAGGTCTTTTCTTTGTTCATCAAGAAGCCAGCGCCAAGCATTCGAATGGCTTGGCTCACTCGTGACAGCACTGTGACTCGCAGCTTTGACATCAATTTTCTTTGCCCAACAAATTCAACCACAGCATCAACACGAGACAGACATGAATCGTTTGATTTGTTTTGTCATTGAACGCATCCAAACAATGCGTCAGTCCTATATTGTTCGAGGACCAGAGCGAAGCTATCAAAGGCAAACGAAGTCCTATGTAGCGGGTGTGGAGCCGAGAGTAGTAGAGCAAGAAAGTAGACGATCAAACCCAAGGCACACCACCAACGAATTGAGGGGACGCACGCACGTGTCGCAGCCGAGAGCCCTTTTGGACTCATGAGAGTCCACCCTGCGGATGCAGAGTGGTGTCATGTCATGACAAACAGGTTGCACAGCATGCAACTCACACAGGCAGTGACCTTTGCCCTGCAAAACACATCTTGGTGCTCACAGGCCGTCTAGGTCCGCGAGCCAAGCAGCAACTTCGGTCTTGATGCTGCCACCCCAAGACTCCAGACTAAGTGGACAAAATAGACTGGAGATCTCCTGTCTCCACGATGGACGCAGGCTTCATCCCTGAGCCTGAAGGGGTTCTTGACAATGAGTTCGGTGGCCTGGAGGAACATGTGAACTTTCCACTCTGACGGCATGATTTCGTATGTTTTTGCTTCTATGTCGTGAAGAGCTGCGTGAAGAATCTCTTGTGTTGGATGGTTGTTTATACTTTCTGCGTTGGCGCAGGGCAACGCGTCTGATGTGCCTGGAGGTTCGTTTTTTGCCATGGCGCCGCTGACGATCACCTTGAACACTTTCTTTGTGGGCCGCGTGTCCAAGAAGGAGATCAAACCACAAACGGCCGAAAAGGACCCGCCTATCATCCCAGAACGTCTTCAGGGCAGCTGATGTCCATATAGTACCAGAAGGCAGCTCAAGGGCTGTTCCCCACATGTGCGCGCCGACCACCTTCGGCATGCTTGAGGTAGACGCGACGCCCGAACTTCAGACTCCGGTCATGATGATGGTGTCGAGCAGCGACAAGAGCCATCCATGGCGGTCAGGTCATGTCGACGAAGGCTTCAAGTGAGGTTGTCATCGGTCTCCTCGACCTGCTTGAGCACAGACGAAGCCACGCTCCTCTTGCTCGAAGTCACGCAACGTGTGGCCACCCCGTTGAGCGATGTCAGGTTCCGCAGTCTTGAGACAGAAGCCCGGCTTAATGCGTATGCGTTTCATGGCAAAGTCCATGGTCACGCCCAAGGCTTCAATGATCGTTGTTTGCGCAGCGCCATAGCGGCCACCCAAGAACATTGGCAAATGAGCTGACCAAGACCATGAGGGAAGTTGGACCGTCTGATCAGTGGCGAAGTTGCCATACAACACCTTGAGCGTGTCCTCAAACGCGTTGTCCTCCTCCAGCTTTTCCAATCCCCAGTCTTCGATCAAACGCCAGACCACACCCGTGAACGAGCCCACAAAGTTCAAGAGGCTCTCTCAGGGACATTTAGAGAGCAGCATTTTGTGGTGATAAAGCTGTATCCGGCCGTGCTCCGCCCAGAAGGGTGTCCAGCAAAGAACTCAAGAAACAGGAGCCCTCCCCCTTCACGGGCCTTATTACGCTTCGCGCCATGCTTTTCGGAGGGCCGGGCGTTGATCCACGGATTCAGCCCTTGCACCGTTTCCCTGATGAATGGGATCTTCCCTGGGCCAGCACTTACCACGGCTCCTTGGTGGAACACGGAGATGTATATCATGATATATATATATATACATCATGTGAGAGATTTGTCGACTACTGTCAAAGCACATTAGGAACCGTTTGATCGGTTTGCTACAGCCGTCCTTGTCGCGCGCGTTTATGTATGATTGCGGCGCTAGTGGAAGCAGAGTGCTTGTCACTGCTTAGGCTACCAGCCCCATCTTGGCAGGCGCTTTGGAGATCGAGGTGCTGCGTGAGAATCTCCTAGCGTCGGCAGTTTTGGTGAATGGCCGAGAGCCTTCTTGGACTCATGGGAGCTCACCCTGCGGACGCAGAGTGATGTCATATCATGAACAACAGGTTGCGCTGCGTGCAACTCACGACCTGTTTTGTAACTCTCAGTTTTTGAAAAGGCCTGAATCACAAGCTCTTCCATCCTAGTTCGCAGGACCAAACAGCAGTACCAAAATAGCCTATTGTTTTGGAATGCAACGCCCCGATTGGCGAATATTTTCTTTCAGTGGTCCAAGCCTTGTGGACCGCGGTTCCCTATTCTTTCCCAATCCTCTTTCAATGTGCCTTGGTCTCTGCTTCTCAATCAATCGTCTTCCGATCAGATCCAGTTTCCTTGTTTGCACTTGACTCCCGTTGACCCCCTTGTTTTCCGCTACAGCCTTGGCTGTGTTGTTGTTGTTGTTGCGGTGGTTGTGGTTGTGGGTGGTTTTCTTTCACTTTCACAACATAGTTGTATTTATTGGAACCCTACTGTCCAGCCGCCAGCCCCTGGTTGTTTCTCTGATTTTGCGTGGATCCGTCGCTTCCAACCATGTCTCCTGTCCTATATGCATCTACGATAGTTTCAGATACGCTTTCCTGTTCCCGTAGTGTTTTGGTTTGAGCATCCGTGGATGAGCTACTCGAGCTGCAGACTCTTCTTTGGAACCCCCTACTGATCTTGAAGTGTTTGGCAAAGTGTGTTTTGAAGGCATTGTTTTTTGGAGGTGTTGGCATGTATCAGACTCGTTTATATCACGGAAGCCAGCCGGTAGGCTAGGCTTGAGTTTCCGGAGCGAACGAAATGAGTGAAGGGGTTGTGGGGGGGGGTGGTTGCGTATGTGGTCACTTCCGGAGAGGTGAGCCCAGAGCCTGGTGGGGGAGGGCGACAAAAAGAGGCGGGCCACTTGGTAGTGAAAATGAATTAAATGAATTGTTTTTTGGGGTGTTGCGATGCCGGTGATGCAATTGACGGCCAGTAGTGCATCATCAGCATTATGAGGGGCTCAGGGGGGCCATGCAATTTGTTTCTACTAGGGGTGGGAGTTCACGTCGATGAGAAGAAAGGGAAGACAAGGGGACGTGAAAAGTGGTTAGAAGTCACCCTGAGAGCAGGAAAGAGAACAGGTTGCAGTTGCGGGCAAGCGTTGGAGGCAGACGGTTTTGAGTTGCTTAGGGGTGCCCTTTTCTATCCGTGGCAAGCAAGGTCTAGTTGGTGGACTCAAAAGGGCGCCCCATATGGAGAGTATCTAATCACGAAAGCCAGCCGTCAACTCCCTTGAAACATAGACCAGCACACCATACCAAACCTTCCCCGGACTACACGGTTGCCTTTTTTTCACCTCCACAACGCCCCGACATCAAGACGAAAAAGGGCACCCCGTCCCAAACCTATGTATTCTGCTGTCTATTTCCCTTCTTTTTCGAATCACGGCCATATCCACTTCACCACTTCCGGCTCCTCTTTGTCCACTCTACCTTTATACATATGTATCCTCACGAAAGCCTGCCAATAGCCATTCGCAACATGCCGCAGGCAAGCGCCCTTCACTTCCTTAGGGGTGCCCTTTTTGCCCTCCAAAACGCCCCTGAACCGGGACCCTGAACCGGGACAAAAAAGGGCACCGCCCCCCAAAGCTATGTGCTCTACTTTCTGTTTCTGCCCCCTATCAGTGTGGCTGCGATGTCAACTTCACCCCATAAAAGTATTCTTTGCCCGATTTCAGCCAATCACTTCATCTTGCACGCCCAAGTGGCTGCAATATCAACTTCACCACTTCCAAATACATCTTTGCTCAATGATTCGCAACACACAGCAGGCAAGCGCCCCTCACTTCCTTCCAGGTGCCCTTTTTCACCTCCAAAACGCCCTGAACAGAGACGAAAAAGGACACCTTATGTATTCAACTCCCTGCTTCTACCCCCTATCGAGGTGGCTGCGATGTCAACTTCACCCCATGCAAGTACTCTTTGCCCGATGTTGCCCAATCACTTCATTTTGCACGCCAAGTCTTTGGCCAGGCTTGCCTTGAGGGCACCCCCTAACCCAGAGGCTGGCTTTCGTTTCCTCCCTTCTCAGGTATATATACATATATATATATATATCGTCAATCCTGCGCGCTGGGAAGCCATTGAGTTCCTTCTTTTTTGGTGGACAATCGCTTGTAAAAAGGGTTTCGTTGGAAGCTTTAGAAGTTGGAAAGACACACCATTAGTAAATTACAAGGAAAACGTTGATTTTGAAGTGTAGGGACTTTTTTTTGAGTTATATTTGGTACCAAGAGTCGCTTATTTAAGGTCTATTTGTCCACGTTCCCAAGTGGGTGTTTTTCCGCGTTTTCTATATTTGTTCCAAGCTGGTTTGCAGGACATCCGTGCGCTGATCAGTTTTGGCTTGGGCGCCCTGCTATGTGGCTGGGCTCGCTTGCAGGAGCATTTCTGGGGTAGAAAGATTTCATGGTGCGATGTTCTTCAGACTCTAGCATGTTAATTTGCTACAATCAAGGCAGGACATGCCCAACACCCAGAGTTCGGTCGGGGAGGCGATGGGGAAGATTGGCTGTGGAAGGTGGATTGCACTTGTGAAGTCGTTTGAACTTGCATAGGAGCTGAACAGCCGGGACCACATCGATCCCCTAGAGTCTGGGGCTGAGTCAGTTTTTTGATATAAAAAAGATGTGCCTCATTCCTGAGCGAGGCGCGTCCAGCTCTTTGTGTACATGATGTGACCAAATCATCAAACCAGGAACAAGCCAGAGCCTTAGTGGTGCAAGGAAACCTTTAAAAACAGAACTTGTTGCTTTCAACCCCCTTGGATATTCTGATGAATTCCAGATCTAACAGTGATCTGAAGATCTTTTTCCAGGCCAAAAGCCCACGGGCCGCGCGCTTCATGATTTTCCACCTGAAGTGCCCCGAACTTAGTTCAAGGTGTTTAAGCAATACGCTTCAGTGTTTGACACAGTTTTTCATCTAAGACGGGTTCATGCGGATGAGCACAGTAAAACATGCGCTTAGGTGCCCAAGTTGGCCGGACATTTTCTTGTTGCAGCTCATGTTCAGACATGCGACATGACAAGTGTCACAAGTGTTGGATGGTTCTGCCGACTTTCAAAACATCGCAGATTGATTTTTAGGCCAAAGCAGCATCAATTGCGGCTGCACGTGGCTGTTTTTGTGGGAGGCGAAAAGTCCATCAGTCCGACGTCCCTTTGATCAGGAGCCACCAGTGGCGGGTAACAGGTAAAATTCTCAAGATTGTTTGATGTGTGTGTGTGTGTGCACGTTGTGCAACCTGGGTTCGTGACATGTGTCACGTTCTTTACCGTTTACCTGTGCTCTTTTGCGATTGGGCTTGAAAAGGTCTGCGACAGCCCGCGCTCGTATGTGGACCTCGCTTTGCTGTTGTCGACTTTGGTTTCTTCACATGATGAGAAGAGCGTGTGGAGCATTCTAGACTGACAGCATTGTTCATTTATTAGCCCATGCTTTTCAAAAGCAATTCTGATGCTGTCCCAGCCCAAGAAAGCAGATCAAACTATTTTGGTTTGATTGAAGCCTTCACATGATTTGATGCTTTGTTTATGATTGAATCAGTCAAGTCCTAAGCAGGTGGCCTCCAAAGTCAAGGAAGGCATTTCAGATCTACAAAACCATGTGTTTGTAACAACAAGACGCAACACAGCAAGAGGGTATACAGTAGATCACATCATAGACGAGGCATGTCTCCTTTTCCTGGGCATGAGTTGACGCGCCAGGAGCGTTGCCAGTGACGCCAGTGGAATATTTGAATCTTTTTTTTTTTCTTAGTTTGATCGGTGGAAACCGTGTCCAGAAATGGCAAATTGCAAAGCGCTGTGCATCAAATGCAGTATCTTGTGAGGTGCAACAGTTTGAATGGATTGAAATGGATAGCTGAATGAATAACGTGTTGGAAGAGATGGTGCAGCGGTTTTGTGAATGCCGTGGTTCCACGCACTTCTTGGTCTCGAATATCGACCAAGTTGCGCCCTCGTCAAAGCACGGGGCTCTCAATCCCATGCTGAAATTGTCAAAGAGCATTTTTGATTGAAATTGAGAAGCAGTATCGTTTGCGCGGTATAGTTTTAGT